TTTGCTGTCTGTACACAAATGACAACTGAAATGTTAAAGTGTCTGAGCTTCTTAAGAATTCGACACATGTCTTGTTCTCTGTTCTTTAACAAAGGATGAGAAGCAAAGTCATCTAAGATAAGAAGACATCTATGAGGGTAAGTCTTCCAATCGTAAGATTGCAATTTCTTCGAAATGTATTCTATCTCTTTCTGTTTGTTTCTGAAGTGTTTCTTCTCTAATATTCTCTGCATTTCCTCATTTGGGTCTTTAAACTTAGAATTGACATACTCATTTATAGCATTGTACTTCAAAACTCTTCTTTGGTACTTCTTTATCCAATCTAACAACTCAGAGTCTTTTATACATACTAACTTAGACTTCTTTATAATATCTTTGAACGAATTGACGGTTTGGTCAAATTGACCAGAAGTCGAACAAATAACAACTAACTCATAGAATGGGTTCTTCTCATCTAGTTCTTGTTGTTGTGCAGCCATTTTAAGATAAGTGAAAGTCTTACCCGACCCAGGTGGTGCAATTAGACCTGTTATACCATTCTGAGCAAATAAGAACTTTTCATGTATAGGCTTTATCTGAGCATTTTCTAACTTCCTCTTGTTCTTGTTTAAAACATTCTCAAATTTCTTGTCAATGTCAGCAAACTTTTTTTCTAACATATTTTTAGAAAAATTAAAATTTTTATCTTTTAGAAAATGTCTAGCGATTTCGCTATCTATATTCGAGACAAACTTTTTGACAGCAAAACATCTGTCGACCATAAAATCTTACATAGTGTAAACAAGAAAGGTGAATTTGTTCTAAAGTTCTGTTTCTGGGAATATGACAAGAACCATAAAACATTACAAAGAGCAGTCTTAAAATTTGTCAATGACAGACTTGTTGACAGAGATGACGCCGATTGGAAAGATGAAGTCCAACAAAAGTTCTTAGAATGCAAAGAAGACACATGCGCTGTTCTTGAAGATGAAATAGAAAACAGAATAGATGAGCTATTAAAGGACAAAGAACTTTTACATAGATATGGTTCTGAGAAGTTTGACATAACTCCACCAGAAAAGAAGAAGAGAGAAAAGAAAGAAAAGAAAGTAGAAGAAGAGAAGAAAGAACCAGAGCCAGAGAAGGGGAGATATGACATGTAAAAATAAAATTTTATTTTTAGAACATTTCTGGGTCAATGTCAATGTTCTCTTCCTCTTTAGGAGCAAACACCGGCTTAGACTCTAAAATCTTTTTACCCAATTTACCTTGAACTTCAACTATCTTAGACTCATAATATTCATAGTCGTCTGCTTTCTTTGGTTCATAAGGTATAACAAGTTTGTATGCTTTGCCTTCTTTAAGGTTTGAGAACCTTCTGTCAAAACTTTCTTTGACTGTTAACAAACCTTCTATGTCTAAGTCTTCAAATTTCGCACCATTTTTAGTCACAATAGCAAACTTAACTGGTTCGATGTTCCAAACTTTGTCAAATGTAGACTTTTCAAAATGGTAGAAGTAAACATTCAAATATGTGAATGGGTCTATTTCTTCTTTAAGTCCTGACATGTACTTGTTGACTGAGATGAATTTCGTCATCTTTTCTATCGGATAAAAAAATATTTTTTTTTAAAATTTACTCAGAAAAATTTTTCTTTGTATATACACCATTCTGTACGTCTAAAAGACTTTTGACATTTGCCAAGAATGTTCGTTTAGACGCTGTCATATAACCATACTCTTGACAATACTGTTTATACGAATCGTACAATGACCTTTCATCTAAACACTCAAAGTCGTTTCATCTATGAACAGTTCATATACACTCTTGTTTGCTTCTAACAATGTTTGTCTCTCTTCGGTATGTGGAATTTGTCTTGGATTGAACTTAGAAATATCTAATGTCATGAAATATGAGAACAAGTGGTTGTAAAAGTCAGATGTCAAAGTTTCTGCTAAGTCGTCAAAATATTCTGTATCTTGCATATGAGCTTCTGACGTTCTGACAACTACATATCTTCTGTCAGAACTTTCTAACTTCATCGGAACGGCGTTGTTTGAAACCATGACGAAGTTTGCAACATTTTCACAAACTCTTTGGTCTTTATATTTTCTTTCAACAACTCCAACTTTGTCTGTTATAAGACTCTTCAAAGCATCTGAGTTTAAAACCTTTGTTGTATCTATACTTTGAAGTTCGTTACATACTATAAGTTTCATATTCTCTATTGAAGAGTTAAATTTACCGCAGATGTTTTCTAAGTTTGTCATATTCGGGTTCGAATAGCCCTCTAACAGTTTGCATAAGATATCTGTAAAGAAAGTGTTCTTACCTGTTCCTTGTTTTCCAATTATGATGAGAGCAGTTTCATTTTTAGCACTTGGATGTTGTAAGATGTTTGCAAACCAACATAAGATATACTCATAGACTCTTTCGTTTCCATTGCATATAATTTCTTTGACATGGTCTAACCAAGCTTCTATAACATTTTCTTTCCATTCTACTTGTTCGTATTTATATCCAGTGAAGATAGAATAGAAGTTTGGAGATGGTGTATAGAACTTTATACCACGAACTGAAAAATCTTCTAACTTTGACAATAAGATATCCCAAGCATCTAACATCTTCATTCCAACTTGTACGACTTTTATTTTCTTAAGTTTCTGTTTACATTCTTGTTCTGAAACTATTGTCGCTTTAGGTTTGTTAAAGACTACATCCCATTCTTTCATAACATAACATTCTGGGGCAGAGTCGACGTAAATGACTAAACGTTTCAAATTCTCGACTGCTTTGTTATAGTCTCGAAATGGACACATATTTCTGAAGGCTTGGAAGTCATAAAAATCTGAAACGTCTATTCTGTACATTTTTTTATAAAAATAAAAAAAAATATTTTTTTTATTCTTGAGCTATTTGTTGTTCTTGAGCTATTTGTTGCATTTGTTGTTCTTGAGCTATTTGTTGTTGAAGTTGTTCTTGTAGTACAATACTTTCACCAGTTGCATCTTCCAATTCGAAACTTTCTGCCGTCATTGACAAATACATAGGACATAAAAGTTTTACAGGAACAAAGTTTGCGTCAACTAAGGTTAAGTTTATGTTTGCTAAAGTGTTTGAGTTTACTAAAGCTGAAAACTCTGCATTCGAATGAACAATAGGCAAACCAGCAGAGAAAGTGTTGTTTATACGCATGAGTATCTTTTGGTCATAGTAGTTTCTGTCGACATTCGAATAGCACTTTGAACCTAAGTTTGAAACAATATATAAAATAGGTGTACTTAAAGTCAATGGAACAGACAAACCTTGTATGACACCTTTTCCTGTTATAGGAAACTGTTGGTAGTAAAAACCAGATATAAGTTTTGTATTATAGCTCATATCGTTTATACTAAACTCAGTCGGACATCCAAACATAATGAAACCTGCTCTAGTTGCAGCACATGTTACATCCGTCCTTAAAGTATTAAATAAGTCAACAAAACCTGTTGGTGGTATATCTGAGTAAGTATCTTCAAAGGAGTATTTTTTACCATTCACAACAACAAAGTCTTCTGGTGTCAAAAGAGCAAAACAGGCTTTAGTCGTCATCGTGTTTAAGGTCAGTTTACAATATCGTCCTTGAGGACTTTGTAAGTTTGTTGTTATAGAATTATATGACTCAGGGTTTTTAGTCGTAATAGTATAAACCACTATGTCTTCTGCCATTTACATATATTTAAAAGTTTTTCTGAAAGTGGAGAAGAACTTCATCTAAACTTTCACATGGCGTTTCTTGAAGTTCTCTGTCTAAGAAGTTCAAATATTTTGTAAAGACATAGAACTTTCCTTTGTCTACACGAACAAACAAAACAGGGTCTTTCATATCGTTCAAAAGTGTGTAAAGTCCTTTACATGAAATAAAGTCTATATTGTTTTTCTTCAAACATCTTTCAAGAAGTTTTGACATTTTTACTTAGCAAACAAACTTTAATGAAATGTTGTGGTCGTCAAATATTTTTATGACGTCTGGGAAACTATATTTTAAGTTCAACGTTTCACCTCCTTTCATAACGTATATCTTGTCAATGACATTGTATGAAACACCACAGCAAGCAATGTCGGGTTCTATTTCTTTGATGTTTATATCGTCTGCCTCTGTCAAAAGTTTCAATAGTTCTTTCAAAACTTCATGAGGTGCAATGACATATGAGTTCACTTTTACAGGGTTGTGTTCGACCAAGTTTAACATTATACCCAAAGCTTGACAAATCTTCTCCTGAGTTTTAAGTTTGTCTTTAAGTTGTTGGTAGTCGTTTCGAATATCTGCAACAGAACTTAAGTCTCTGCTAACTTCAGGATATGTTGGTTGTTCTTTTACAGGAACTATTGTTATACCATCTTCGTCTTCGTATGGTTTCCCCACTTCAACATCTCTGTCTTTGACATTGACAACAACACTTTGACTGTTTGTTTGAGTTGGTGAATTTAACTTCACATCTGCCATCGCCATTAAACCTTTTGAAACACTTACGCTTCTATTTTTCGGAAATGACATTTTACTTAGAATAAAAAGATGGGTATTTGAGTATCTCTTCGAATTGAAGCAGAACAAAGTTTACACACACAAACAATACAAGTTCATTGACAGAGTAGTTCTTTACACAAACAATGGAAAATGTTATAGAATAGCAGTCTTTGCTGAACCAAAATATTTTCATAAAGCAAAGAAAGTTGGTATAACCGAGATGGTGAAAGTTCTTGAAGCAGACAAAAATATAACAACAAAACTGACCGATATTTCTAAAGGAAGTTTTTAATACAATATTATATCAAAACTGGCGTACTGTCAATATTTGACGGAGAGAAGTCAGTTCAAGAACAACTTACTGACCTGCTGCCAAAATCTGCTCGATGGAAGCTGTCGTTATACCAATCTGAGGAGCCCCAGCAGGTTTCATCGAACGAATCTTCAAAAGAGCATCTTCCGTGAAAAGTGCTATTGGTTTTGTAAACTTCTTTGCTTTCAATTCATCTGGACCGTCTCTGTCACCAGTATATTGTATTTGAACTGTACCAACAGTTGAAATACCACCCATAAAGTCTTCTGAGTCAGCAAATGGAATGCCAAGCCAAAAGTTTGAACGGTCTCCATTTGTATATTGAGTGTTTTGACCTCCTGTATGAGTCCATACTTTCACATATGGCATAATAGAACTTTGCATTTCAGGGTTAATGGTTGTTGTGAAGTTGTTGTTAAAGTTCATAGCATCTAATGTCAAGTTGTATGACCTCATATCCTCAACTGTGGAATATTCTTCTCTTGGATAATATTTGCCATCTATGTTTATATGATATTTAATACCAGGGTTGTAGAAACAAGAATAGTCATTTATAGTTCGTCTGAACAGTACAAACATAGTATCTGCATGTTTCATTGCAGTTGTTAAAGCAATATCTGTTCTTGCACCTGGGTCAGCACTTTGGTTTCCAACTTCACCTGCAAAGTCTTTGACAGATATTTGGTGTATAGGGAACATAAGTGGAACTGCAATATATTTGGCAGCTAAAGCATTTGAAATATCTGGGTCCAACATATAGACTGCAAGTCTGCTTTCTATTCTCTTGCATTCAAACTTTTCGCATGTGAACTTAACTGGGTCCCAAGCAGTTCCAGCAGCATTGAAATAATAGTTTACTTCAGTGTTGAGGTTTGAGAAACCAAAGTCTAAGTCAACTTTGTCTTTGCAAAATTCGGCGAATGACGTTTGATTTGCTCCCTTTACGTCTGTAAGAGTGAATGGGTCTTGTGTTGGTGCAATGACTAAGTTATTTTTGCTTGGAGTAAGTTCGATAGAAATTTTTCCTGCCCAGTTTGGCAAGTATCTTAAAAACCTGAAGATGAGGAAAGATGACAAAGGAACTCTAAGTTTCAGTTTTACTTTGGTTACTGCTGCTGCAGTTTGTCCAGAAAGGTTAACATAAACTCCTGGAACGTTAGGGTCAAGTCTTCTTATTTTCTCAATAGTTGCATACTGGTCTGTTTGTTCTCTAGCTTGTGGTTGTACTGAGTTTCTCAAAGCGAACCATTCATAGTTTGCCCATGTTACTGTTTGAACTAAGTCAGAGTTAGAATATATCTTATATCCCATGAAAACTTCTGGAGCATATTGGTATCCGACATAGAAAATTCCATTGCAACCTTTCTTGTCAGACAACTTGGCAGAAGGTTTTATTTCAATGTCTTGTTCCACGTATAAGAAAGAGTTGTCAATAGAAATAATATGAAACCTGTCGCAAGCAATATCTACTGTTGTTGAAGAACCTTCACCAAACTCACCTACGTTTCCATAAGAAACAGCAGTTGTATATTCGTAAGTTCCAGGAACTATTTCTGACCTTCTAATGGCATTGTCGCATTCGTTATACCATTCGGAAACATTTCCATTCATAGCATCCAAAACTGTTGGCGTTATATTCTGAGCGGCGTACATTTCATATGGGTAAAAATATAGAATAGTTGGATTTATTTGTCATAATAGAACCCAGTGGACCAAGCTTTACTTTCTTCCTGACTGAGTTTTTAACTCTTCTTTTTCCTTCATTGCCACTACTTTCACTAGATGAAGTTACTTCTTCACTACTTTCACTTTGTTCTACTCTTCTCTTCTTCTTTGGTGTCGCTTTTGGTAACTTGCCCTCTGCTTCAAGTTGTTGCATCTTTGCCTCATGTTCATCTAGTATGTTGCAAATTTTCCATGCCCTTTTTGCCTTTTGGCTCTGGTCGCCCATCTCAGGTAACCTATATCCTAGAAAGAGTTTGTCATAGTTTGTATTTGAGTCTTCGCGTATTGTTTGCATGACTCTGTCCTGAGTTTCCGGTTCAAGCTCTTCAAACAGAGCTTGTCCATATGGAATATGCTCGTTTCCAAATATATGTTTTTGTAGCCATTCTGGTTTTCTTTCCATGTTACCAACAATATCTTTTGTGAATGGGAAAGCTTTTACCCAATCTTTCAGTCTTGCGTCGTTTATTTCTGTAGTTGGTTTTATTTTGTCAAGGAACATGTTTTTCAATACTAACATTTCATTTGGTACTGTCCATTTGAGTTTTCTTAAATATTCATCCCTTCTCAGTTCATCGTCTGCAAAGTAAGTTTTTATGACATTTTGTAAACTTTCATTTGCAAGGTCATGTACAATAGGTTCTCTTCCTTCTCTCTCCCTAACTTTCTTTCTAAACTCTTCACCAAATATACCATCTCTATGGTTCTGTGTAGTTCTTTGAGATAAATGTTCTAGAACGTCAGGTGTTATATTTCCATCAGCCATGTTCATTTCATACTGGTCCAAAATATCTGCATGTTTCATATCTTTCAATGGCATTAAAGCCGCGCTTAAAATACCAGCTATATCTGGTTCACCATTGACTTCCATTGCGTCTACAACTTCTTGGAATTGAGGTTGTAAGTTTATGAACCACCTATCCGGGTTAGCTTTATGACCCCATCTCATTGTAGTTCCATCGTCTGCAGAAACAAAAGTAGGTTTGTTTCCATCTTGGTTAGGTTCTGAATGAACTTTAAACAATGTTTCATTTCTATATGTTTTCTTGAAATTTAACCTTTTATTTTCACCGAGTTCATCCGAAGATTGAACGTTAAATGCTCGTAAGTAAAAAGGGTTGTTGTATTTGTGTACATTTTCTTTCAGTACTTCCATTCTATGCTGAATATTTTCATCTGGTGTTGGAGTCTTTTGTATGTCGGCGAACATTTTTCGATATTCTTCTACTATGTCAGCCGAATTTTTTTTAGACTCTTGGAAATATTCCATATTCTCCGCATACTCTTGTTGAGGGTCAAGATTTTTCGGCTGTTCCAAATCTTCATCTAGTTCTGTGAAGTTAGTTTCCAAAGGAGTGACTTGTTCGTTTCCTTCAGGCTCTTCTAGCTTTTGTTGCTGAACTATTTCATCCATGTCTGGTTGTATCTGAACTATTTCTTCCTGTGGAGTTTCTTGTACCTCATCTCGTGACATTTCATATATTCCGAGACGGTTTTTAGCAAATTCCCTATTTAAGTCATCCGCATTCATAAACCTTTCTTCTTTCGTTCCGTCTCTATTTTTTACGCGTTTTATGAAGAGAGTTGAATCGTCATTTAGCTCTGACATCAAATATCTCGGAGTAAATTCATCCATGTCATTTGGATGATATGCTATTAAATCATATCCCTTAGCGAGCTTGTATTTTCCAGGTTTGAGATTATATTCGATTTGGTGCTGAGTCATAAAGCTAAATAGGTTCGGGTCAATATTTCCTTCCTTGAACTTTCTAATAGCTTCTTTATATCTGTCACTAAAGTCAATAGTATCTGGGTAACCATATTTTTCCTTAAGCATTTTTAAGATTTCTTGGTTTCCTTGTTCTCTACTTCTTTTATGTCCTTGCTCTGTTTGTGGTTGTTGTGCTGGTTGTGGAGGTGGTTGTTGTGCTGGTTGTGGAGGTGGTTGTTGTGTTGGTTTTGGTGCATGCCTGTGTCTGTGTCCATGTGACGATGTAAATGTTTTAGGTAGTCCTGGTGCAGGTGCTTCTCTTGGAGGGTTTGGTGGTATATAAGTTCCACTAGCTAGTATATAAGTTCCACCAGCTGGTATATAAGTTCCACCAGCTGGCACATATGTTCCATCTGCAGCGTAATGTCCTACCTGACTTTTCGTTTTTAAGAAAGCATTTACTAGGTCTGTTTTGGTCTGTTGTAACTCTTTTTCTTGACTTTTCACAACAGTTGCTCTAACGGCGTCATAGGCACTTTGAACTGCCTGTCTCGTTGCTGCATCTGTTATTTTCGTCATATTTTGTGCACTTCTTTTAACTCTTTGTCGAAACCTTCAGACTTCAGTTTCTTTCCAGATGAGAAGTCGTTCACTAGTTTCACCTTACTATGAAGAGCTTCGAAGGCGTTCTTAAAGTCAGCATTTGTTAAAGCTTCATTTGAACTGTCTTCATCCGCTTGTATTTTTGTCCTTATTGACCCTATAAGCTGGGCTGCTTTAGCGTTGGCTTGGGCATCTAACCAGTCATTGTTAGCTTTTATATATTCTGCGCTTTTCATTGCCTTTTGCATGGCTGCGTCGTTATTTTTACTTTCTTGTGCTAAGTTTTCATACTGTACGGTTTGGTTTTGCAACTGTAAAAGTTTTTCTGCCTTTACATTTGCTTCAACTTCCTTTTTATACTCATCGCTATCCATATATGTCTTCAGGGCTTTTTGTTTTATCTCTTCATCTTTCAGTACTTTATATTGAGTAGTATGGTTTTTCAAATTTATGACATCTTGTTCCATTTTTGCTACTTCTGCTGCTTTTTCTGACACTTTTTTCGCATATTGCTCTGTACTTAGTTCTTTCAGTTGTTCTTCTTTCTTCTTTTTCTCTACGTTTAACTCATTGAGTTTCTTTGTGTGTCTGTCATATTCTAGTTTCTTTTCGTTTTCACCTATTTGCTTCTGTATGTCTATGTTTGACTTTTTGACATCTGCTATTTGATTTTTGAGTGAACTCAAATTCATTTGACTTTGAGGGTTATAGGCTGTTCCGTCTGCAGCTCCACCATAGCCTGCCATTTTCGCTAAAAGTGCCGCTCTTAAACCTCCACTCTGTGCACCAAGAACTCGGTTTAAAAGCATAGGATTGCTTGACATTTGTTGCAACATAGTGGGGTCATTCAGCATTTGTTGTTGCAACTGTTGTTGTGGTGTCAGTCTTACTATTGGATGTTTCAATGCTCTCTTCCTCTTACGTATATTCTTACGTAGCTTACGTGGCATTTTAAGTGAAGTTAAAAAGCGGTTTTATACTAAACATCTTCGGGGCTAGAGGGCGCAACGCGCCTGGAAGCCCCAATACCTTTTTTTTTTTTTTTTTTCTATTAGTAAACACTACCGTATATTATTTTTTAAGCTATCTTATTTTTTGAAATTTTATTCAAATCTTTGGTCGCAAGAAGAATTGCATGATAAATAAAAACATTTAATCAAAGTCAATTTTATTTTTCATATTCAAATGGACTGAGTGTTAACATTTAACATTTTTTGCTAATTGTCGTCAAAAATTAGGCGTAAAGCAAAAATTGATATTTCATATGGTTTTATGATAGATAAGCATTATATTCCCACTCATTATATTCGTAAATTTTGAGGTTTATCCTTCGCTTTTAAGATCATTGAATTTGATTTTTATATAAAATAGTTATATATTAGAAAATAATATGAGTTTATGTGATATTATTTTTCAGAAGATTTTGTGTTCTTCTTCAAAATTTTATTTTTTATTAAAAAGAATCTTTACAAAATATACATTTACTTTAATTAATATTTAAAAACGTGCTCTATCAAAAGTTCCAAAAATTCAATATTTTAGCTTTTCTGATGTGTCACTTTTGATGAATTTCTGTTTACAACAATATAGCATATAATCATGCTATAGCCGAAAATTATAAGTTTTGAGAAGATTGAATATAACACAAATAAATTTGAATGTCAGTTAAATTGCTTGTTGTTTTTAATAGCTACTTAATGAGAAATCCAATATTGCAAAATTCAAATTGAATGATTGAAAGAACAGAAAAAGTCATTCTTTTCAATTTCGAATATGTTTCATTGTATTTATAATTATATGGCAAATAAGATATTTAAACTTGATTTTTGAAGGAAAATTCACAAAATTGAATGAATTCAAATAATTTTTATTCAAAAATAAACTAGTTATTTGAGTTTACTACTAATTGTCTATTCAAACTACAAAGTTTGTAATTTAAAATATTTTGTGAGATCAGATTGAATTAATTCAACGTTCTTTTCAATTAATATTAATGACCATATTACGCATTTTCGAACATTCTAAACCAAATATATAAAAATGGGAGACGAATGTTAAATTTGCTAGACATGGGGGAGTTGTCTGCAAAGTTTTAGCTCTTATCTCTAACAAAAAATTAATTTTTAAAAAAAAGACCGAATTCGTTTCACAGCGAGAAAAAAATAAAAGGCAAGATAGAATTTTCTAGACATAAAGAAGTTGTTTACCGAGTTTTAGCTCTTATCTCTAACAAAAAATTAATTTTTAAAAAAAAGACCGAATACGTTTCACAGCGAGAAAAAAAAATAAAAGGCAATAGAATATGACATTTTCTAGACATAAAGAAGTTGTTTACCGAGTTTTAGCTCTTATCTCTAACAAAAATTAATTTTTAAAAAAAAGACCGAATACGTTTCACAGCGAGAAAAAAATAAAAGGCAAGATAGAATTTTTCTAGACATAAAGAAGTTGTTCTACCAAGTGTCAGCTGTTACTTCTTCTAAATACTGATATAAATAAAAATCTTTAATTATTTATTTAACCTTTATTGTTTCATTAAACTTCATTTATTTTATATTATAGTTTTATTCTTTAGCTACTTGTAAAATAATCTAATTTTATATCATCATTTTAC